TAATATTAAATTCATGTTGTGAATTTTGATATTTTTTTCTATAAATTTAGTCAAAGTCGACAAAGTTTGACTTTGACCAAATTTTATATGCAGACTAAAAAGAAACAGAGGGGGTATATGACCACAATGTTTATTTACTCTTTCACTTTTATAAGCTTGCATGGATAATTGGTTTTTGAAGAATCTAGGGAAAATTCTTGAAATTTAGATGTTTGGAATCCATTATGCAGTTATCTCATTTGCTGTAGAAGATCTATAAGTAGTTCTATCAAGGACCATGGCTGCAAACCAACCTGTGATTGGATGGCTAGAGTGACAGTGGTATCCCAGTCCACTAGGGTTCATGATGTTTGATTTCCGGCGATGCGCTTTCAATGGGAGGAGACGTTCCCGTCGACGACGAGGAGTCTACGGTGACTTTATAAATCTCAAGATGATATGCCGGTTCAGTCTGCGTCTGTACGTTCATACGGGTGAGTGTCTGCACGTATGTATGAGCGCTTGCGTATATACTATATTAAAAGAAAGGACCATGGCAGTACGATCTGAAATTTATATTGGATTAGCGATGATGAGCGAACTAATTCTGTACAATCTGAATATTTTGTACTCCGTTTGACTTAGGGTCTGTATTGAATCAAATAGGAGAATCTGAATTATTACTAAAGTGATCAGGTTACATAAGGCATCCGAGACCTGACAATTGTAAATATGCATATCTGTTTTTCAGTCCGCAATTACACGCATCAGATGTTGTGCAACGATATGCATTTGGAATGCGATGCAATGATATCCTTTCGGAGCGATCTAAAAGCCAGGTTCCATGCATATAGGTAGTGTGCATTATAGAACTCACCATTAACTTGTCAGGTTCTACAACCCAACACTGACTCATGAGGTTCTGAGCTCTTTGCATTCAGAACTGTGCATATATATCATGTTGTATGCATACAAAATTACAAAGCCTGCAGTAGAATTGTGCAACTATCCAAGTACAACTGCCACTAATCATGACAGCAGTACTCTGATCGTATCACCATCCAAGTGCAACTGGAAATGATCAGTGTAGTTGTCAAATTATGCAATGGTAGTTGTATAGGGAATGTCCCGTCACTGTACGTGGATGCGTGCGGTGTCAAATTAGGCAATCGTGATTGGAGATGATATCGGACAGCGGCACTGGTCAACTGCATAGACCATTTTTCTTTGGGATTTACTATGAGAAAGCCTACACACGTACTACTGTTCACCTGACGGGTTGACAAAAACTGGTCGTGGCCTCGTGGGTGGCCTGTTGAGCTTGCTCGTACGTGTCCCAATCGATTTCGATAGATGTGACGCTTGATAGACAAAAAGATAAGGGCAACACGCAGCGAACAGTGCAAGAGGCGACGCCAACAAAGACATAGGATAATCCATGGTACTCCGTCGATGGTACAAATTGGGGTTCTTCCGGAAAAAAATAATCATAAACGGGGATACAGAGGTGACCATGCTACACGCATGGGACCCTTTGAAAGGTTGATCGGTGCATTGCCACTGGGCCGCGCAGAGGGATTAGGTCATGCATAACCGGAGAGCCTATATCTGTCCTCGTTCTGCACCTGCACGAGCCTTCCCCTTTCTTTCTACAAGTACACCGATGGCCCTCCTGTAAAACCGTAGACGTGAATGAAACGAGCATGAAATAAGTCGTACTGAATCTAAACTTTCGAACACGCTGCTCAAACAAATTTCTATCTCAGTAATACCTGACCGCCGTATCTTCGGCGCTTGCGTTGTTCGTGATAAAATTGTCCAACGGTGATGGGTGCACGCCTCACGTCGGATATCACAGCCTTGTCACGGGACCCTAATGGCGAATTTAAGGCGGAGCACACCATCTATGATGCTGAGCGGTCACAGAAAATCTGGCTAATACTTGTCTCATTGCCGGTGATGTGACTAGGGTTTGTGGCTCCACGTACTATCATTCATGAGTGGGTCTCATGCATCAGCGGACCAAAAATCATCGCAGCTAGGAGTAGCTACGGTTTGTAAGCTGTGTAGCTACCAAAGATAGGATGTGACCATGCATACAGCTTTACCATGCGAGGACTGTAAATTTTACTCCCTCCATTCCATAATGCAGTGCTTTCTCTATCCCGTACTTCAACTTTGATCGTAAATTTAACTATCAAAACCAATTACGGCGAGAGCAAAAATTATATCAGTGAATTCATATTCGAAAGAAGTTTTCAATTATATAACTTTTTTTTCCATCGTAATCGATCTTATTGATTAAATTTATGATCAAAATTGGACATAAAAAGTGCGAAGGTATTATATTTTAAAATGGAGGGAGTACTCTATGTGGGAGCAGTGGACTGTTGCACTGCTTGGAAAGCTTGTTGCTTCCGAGTCTTAGTACCATGCTCCTACTGGGTACTGGGCTACTGGCTGCTTTCTCGTACACTTCAATCACATCAGCCCATGCACCGATGCATCGCTGATGCGGTAAAACACCGTCATCAACGTGTAAATAAGAGTACTAACAGCAATTTTAATGAGGCGACCTAAATGAATGCGTATTTTGTCCATTTTTTGTTCGTTCAGATCGCCGCGCAGATGTCAGTATTCGTTTTTTGTTTTGGGTCGGTACATGCGCCCAACGGGTGGCCGACACATTTTTAACATGTCCGTCCTGGCATTTTGTCAAACACGTAGCAGTCAACGGGGCTGGCAGCGGCCGACGGCGGCATCGGCCCGGCGCAGGCACGAGGCGAGGCCGGTGGCTGGGCGTCGCCTGTTGGGTGCGGCGAGGCATGGCCTGGACGGGCGTCACCTGCGGGGACGAGCACCGGAGGGGAGAGGGACGAGCGTGACGCGGGCCGACAGGAACGGCACCGGCGGGGCGTCGCGAGGCGCGATGAACGCGGAGCTGGATACTTGAACGGGGCTATGCATCCGGTCATACATAGCTGCTCCGTGCTCGCCGCCAAAACAATGGCAATGCTCGCTGCTCGCTTTGGGTGTGGTACAGACTCGTTAAATCATGAGGAAACGAGCTAGCTGGCACTAGTGTCTCCGTGATGTATCAGGGTCAGAGGCGGCAATGGGGCATGGTTTGCTCGGTGCTGCTCCTGTCGGTGTTGCTCGCCGTGCCCGCCCCGCGGCTCTCCCCGTGCCGCTGCGAGCTCTCGTTTCGGCCGCGCCTCGCACACCCCTCACGTCGCGCGCCCGCAGCAGCTTACGCCCCGTCTGCCCCCCGCATCAGCTTGTCGGGGCTGTAGCAGCTTAGGCCCCGGCTGCGCCACCAGCAGCTCGCACCCGCCACCGCTCGCGCCTCGCCCGTTCCTCACACTGCGCGCCCGCAGCAGCTTGACGCAGAGCTCGACGCCAGCAGCAACTCGAGCTTGTCGGCATGGACGGGCGTGCTCTGTGCTGCGGCGAGATCCACAGACTCACATGGTGGGTGGGAGAGAGAAAAAGGCAAGATGGGATGGGTGGGTGGATGGCAGGTGGGGTAGCGCGGGCATGCAGCGGACAGTGGAGGACGAGAGGGAGGTAGAAAACGTCCGTTTTGTGTCCGCTTCGGAACCAAATGACCCAAATCAGTTCTAAATTTGAGTCAGAAATGGGTCCGCACGTACACAAAACGGACGCAAAATGAAAATGGGTCTGTGCGTTGGGCCATCATTTTTGTTCGTGCCGACTCAAACGGACGATGCAAACGAAATGGGTCGCTCTATTAAAGTTGCTCTAATTACTCAAAAGAAATTACTCCTCAAAACTCCAAGGAGTTTTACAATCCTCAAAGCGCGTAAAGAAAACTTAGGAGTATTTTTTCTGTCCTGGTGTTAAAAGTGTAATTATTATTATTTTTCTGGTAAAACTTCCAGGATTTTTTTTGAGTAACTTTGATTGGTGAGTGCCTTTTTTATTATACAGTTATATTATTATTTCGATATCTTAGATGATGTGCAAAATTATCAAGGCCTCAAATATTCTTCAATCACTTCGCTTATTTACGATTCGTGGCTGAGTTTGTTAATACCCTCCCCGCAAAAAAAAAAGAGTTTGTTGATACCCTACCTACTTAACTTTGACCTATCATCATGTTCGTGGGACGGGAATGGTTACGAGCGTCGCGGTACGACCTGGATGTCTACGAGACGCGGCGCCTGCGTCACCTATGAGGTCTTTTCGACAGGAGAAGTGACATGCATATGACTGACAAGGCCACCAGATTGCACGTCGTGCACAGATCGTTCACAAAAATCGTGCGTGGAGCAGTAGTTTCGCTTCGGCAGTAGCCTGCCTATACTGTCATCTGTCTATCCACCGCAGGCCTATCACCATCTGTCTATTCTCTAGACTACTCAATTAGAACGTCCTATGACCTGCATAAGTATGCAGCTAGTGCAGATGGTCTGCGCGCGGATTGACAGAACACTGCCCGAATCTCAGCGATCATGACCACACCTTTTTGTTCGTCGAGCCTTCCTAGCCACCCCTCTAAACCCCACCTCTCTCCTCTCAAGTGCTGCGTGCCGGCGACCCTACCTCCACCCGCCTTCACCAACAACGTCGTCTTTGCCGATCTACGGCTCGTTACTAGCTCACCCTCGTCGGCGACGCCACGGGTGGCCAAGTCGCCGTCTCCGGCTCAACTGGAATCTCTTGCCGTGAATCAATCGATGCAACTAAAAATGCCGACCGCTCGAATGATAATAATAAACTTGCAAAGGCAAAGATACAAATAATAAAGAGATAATTGATCCATAATCTTCATTGATACTGGTAATAGATTTGGGGTATGTACACCCGGACGGAAATACAGTACATAGTTGCTTAAAACATTGATCAACACGATCGCTTAGTTGATGAGTAGCCTAACTAGTAATAAGCAAGTAATCACCCGCAAAAAAAGTAATAAGCTAGTAATCTAAAGTAGATTTAGTGATCCAAAAGCTGCTGGTCCTGCTCTTAACAAAGGTGAACCGGCTTACAGGTTCCGATTACTTCAAACACTTGACGCCGAGGTAATACGCGACGAAGGCGTCGGCGGCCGCGTACCTCACCTGCTTCTTCGACAGCGTGCTGACGTTCCAGTTGCCGGCGCCCACCCGCTCGGCCTTCTTCACCCCGCGCCACCCGAGGACCTGCTCCGCCATGCTCTCCATGGAGGCGTTCCCCATGCCCGTCACCTTGCGCAGCTCCTGAGGGCACGCCACCCGCAGGCCGTAGTGGGCGCTCAGCTTGCTGCAGTCCGACAGGACGTTGTAGCCGACGAAATCCACGCGCCCGTCCTCCAGGAACCGCCGGAGCACCAGAGGGACGCGGCCGGCGCCGGCGCGCCCGATCTGGAACACGAGGCACCGGCGCCCGCAGCAGAGCTGCAGCGTGGCCGGCCGCGCCTCGGCGCCGTCGGACAAGCGGCGGAAGGACGGCGTCCACTGCACGCCCATGCCGACGATGAGCCCGGCCCTGGAGCGGAGGTGGCCGACCTTGCGCCACCGCGCCGTGTGCACCCACCGGCGCGCGACGGCGGGGTCCGAGGTCACGGTGGCGAGCGTGGTGCGGCCGGCAACGTGCACTTGCTGGGTACGGCGCTTCATGGCTGCTTCCCCACGATCACACGCACGGTGCTCACCTAAGCTTACAACTCGCCGGAGTTTTCAGGATAGTACTATGCTCTATCGGTTTGGTTACAAACACTGCGCGTGTATATATACACCTGCTAGCTGACCGACTCGGATGGAAGACATAAACTCCTACGGACTCCGGCGAGTACTCTACAAAACTAATACTTCCCTGTATAGGGGAATTTTAGTCGGAGGGGTTATTGTGCACGACCAAGACGTGGAGCTATTCACGCGTGATCAATTCCCTTGATTAACTCCATGATTAATGCCCTGTTTGTTCGCCTTCTGCATGCAACCAGGGGACGAGACTTGCCTGCTCCCTTCCCATGCTCTAATCCGTGCTCTAGGAGGCCTTCTGCATGCAGCCAGCCACGTGGCACATTCCTTCTGAAAATAACTAAGGGCATCTACAGAAAATTTCGTCCCTCAAATGTCCTGTTAGTGTTCATTTGGAGCTTTTTATTTCGATCGAAAAATGATCCAAATCTATTACTCCGTTCACTTTTATAATTATAAAAATGAACGAAGGGAGTATTAAAGTTCACAGGAAGTACAAAGCATTTCAAACAAAATAAAAATTGCATCAAGATTCTCAGACCACGAAACGACTATTATCACTGACAGAACAAGAGCCGTTGGTGCGTCGCTATCGCTGTTGCCGCTCTCCTATCAGAGCCGACTTGCCCTTATCGATAACAGCCGAGAAGTCTTCGTGCACATGCTCGTAAATACCAGCGCCCTAGAGCCGCAATCGTCGCCATTGAATCCTTGAATAGATCTGGAGCACGTGACACCAAATGTCACCACACAACGAGAAAACCTAATCTTACCATCCGAAGGAGACGACAGGAATCTACGTCGGAGTTTTCTCGACTACATCCAGATGAACGAACTCAAGGAGAATCGAAGACTGGAAGGCAAACTCGAAGAAGAAGCGTCATCCGCCCGAGTGCTATGTATGCGAGGACTAAAACACTATAACCTAAACTACTAACCGGAGCAGAGGCACGGGGATTCCCCTTCCCGCCACCAGCATCATAGCAGCAGGCAGAGGGAAGACGAATCCATAGGCTAGCCAGCGAAGCCTGGAGGGGAGAGTTTTCCCTAGCGGCCTACAAATAGGGGAGGAAAGGTCATCGCGTGCCTAATTTATTGTGGTTTTAGAGCCTCTATTTGTCCGTGCATGCAATCATACTTCTCATTTTCTTCTTTAGATATCCGGTCACATGTATGCGATTGATGAAAATGAAGAGAGAGAGATAAAAAAAGAATAAAGAAATAATAAAGAAAGAGAAAGTGTGGTCAGGGTGTGCCGCGTCTTGAGTGGCGAACTGACTAGATTCGTCCATGAGCCCTTATATCCTCCATGTATATGTTCTGAGCGAGGACAGACCAGACGTATGAAATGACATGAAAGATTCGGTTGGGTCATATTTTTTCCTTCTCTCTCAAGTTCAGGTGCTAATTGAACGCATCCACGGACATTTTTCAAGGATTTGAGGGAACCAGGCCCGTCTATAAGCATGTGCGAACTATGCGACGACAAAAGGGCCCTCACTTTTCCCCACATTTAGAGCATCTCTAGCAGACCCCGCATAACGCCAACTTGCAAAATGCGTTTGCAGTTTGCGAAAAAAAACAGCTTTGCGGGCCGGCACGGAAGGTCGCAGAGGCAGACCCCACAAAATGGACCCGTATAAAAGGATATTCACGGAATATACTCTTTTACGGGTCGGCTTTGCGGGGTCTGGTCTAGTGCCGCTCCCGCCGGCCCGCAAATTCGAAATTCGCACTTCTATTTGACACGAGATAATACATTTCTTTGCTTTTTCAACGGCATTGGATACATAGGACATCACCAAATCTTTGCTAGAATATCAAGACCAAAGAAAACAAGATCCACAATTATGCATTTTACTCTCTCTGTTCCTAAATATTTATCTTTTTAGAGATTTCAAATGGGCTACCATATACGGATGTATATAGACATATTTTAGAGTGTAGATTCACTCGTTTTGCTCCGTATGTACTCCCTCCGTCCTTTCAAGAGTGTACTTCCAACTTTTTTGGAGAGTCAAACTTTTTTATATTTGACCATGTTTATATTATAATACATTAACATTTATGCCATCAAATTAGTAGCATTAGATTCGTGATAAAATATACTTTCATCATATACCTATTTGATTTCACAAACATTTATATACTTTTGCACAAACTTGATCAAACTTTGAGATAGTTTGATCCTCCAAGAAAGTTGGAAGTACACTTTTTAAAGGACGGAGGGAGTAGTCACTTGTTAAAATCTTCAAAAAGACAAATATTTTACAATGGATCCATAATCTTCATTGATACTAATAGATTTGGGGTATGTACACCCGGACGGAAGTACATTACATAGTTGCTTGAAACATTGATCAACACGATCGCTTACTTGATGAGTAGCCTAGCTAACTAGTAGTAATAAGCAAGTAATCTAAAGTACTAGATTAGTGATCCAAAAGCTGCTGGTCCTGCTCTTAACAAAGGTGAACCGGCTTACAAGTGTTAGATGGGAAGCGTTCCTACTCCCTCGTGAGGGAGCCGCGTACGTTTATATTGATCGAGGAAGGAAAGCCCCTGCCGTGGCTTACAAGAAGATCACCGATCCCTTGGGGATTCGGTTTGTTACAGAAGAGATAGAAGAAGCTACGGGAGAGAGAAAGAGATAGAATCAGTTTGAGATTACATGAATATATCTCTAATTCTAACACCCTCCCTTAATCTCAACTATCCTACATTAAGATTCTTCTTGAATTCCTCGAAGAGCTTGACTGGCAAAGCTTTAGTGAATCCATCTGCAACTTGATCTTTGGAAGGAATGAACCTTATGTCTAACTTCTTTTCTGCAACCCTTTCTCTTACAAAATGAAAGTCAATTTCTATATGCTTGGTTCTGCCATGGAACACTGGGTTTGCAGAAAGATATGTGGCTCCCAAGTTGTCACACCACAAACATGACACACGATGTTGCTTAACTCCCAACTCATTGAGCAATGATTCAACCCAAATGATTTCAGCAGTAGCATTTGCTAGTGACTTGTATTCAGCTTCAGTACTTGACCTGGACACTGTGGCTTGTTTTCTGGCACTCCAAGAAATAAGATTTGAGCCAAAGAAAACTGCAAAACCTCCAGTTGACTTCCTGTCATCACTGCATCCTGTCCAGTCAGCATCAGAGAAGGCACTGACAAGAGATGAGTTAGAGTGTCTGAACTTAAGACCTAAACCCACAGTGTGCTTTATATACCGTACAATTCTCTTAACAGTTGTCCAGTGTGCAGTGGTAGGTGCATGAAGATACTGACAGACCTTGTTAACAGCAAAGGATATGTCTGGTCTTGTCAGTGTCAGATATTGTAAAGCTCCTACTGCACTCCTGTATCTTGTGCTCTCTTCTTCCTTAAGTGGCTCTCCTTCAAAAGCTGAAAGTTTTTCTGAAGAAGACAATGGTGTAGGTGAAGGCTTACAGTCCTTCATCCCCATACGAGCTAGGAGTTCAGTGGCATATTTTTCCTGATTCAGTACTATGCCATCTGGAATCTTCTTGACTTCAATACCGAGAAAGAAGTGAAGATCACCAAGGTCCTTCAAGGCAAACTGTGAACTCAGATCACTCAAAAGAGCATTAGTGGCATTTTGAGAAGAGCTTGCAACTATAATATCACCAACATATATCAACACAAATATAGTTATACTTGCTTTGTTGTAGATGAACAATGATGTATCAGCCTTGGATGCAACAAAACCAAGGTACTTCAACTGAGAGCTCAACCTTGAATACCATGCCCTTGGTGCCTGCTTTAATCCATAAAGTGCCTTGTCAAGCTTACATACATAATGAGGTGTTTTCTTGTTTTCATACCCAGGTGGTTGTCTCATGTAAACCTCCTCTTCCAGAACACCATGCAAAAACGCGTTCTGAACATCTAGCTGTCTCAGACTCCATCCTCTGGACACAGCAATTGCTAGCACAAGCCTAATGGTTGCAGCTTTAACAACAGGGCTAAAAGTGTCTTCATAGTCCAAACCATAACGTTGTTTAAAACCTTTTGCAACTAAGCGTGCTTTATACCTGTCAATGGTGCCATCTGCCTTTTTCTTGATTCTGTAAACCCACTTACAGTCAATGATATTCTTACCTCGTTTTTCAGGTACAAGATGCCAAGTCTTGTTCCTCATGAGGGCTGAGTACTCCTCATCCATTGCATTTTTCCATCTTGGATTCCCTAAGGCATCTTCTAACCTTGCCGGTTCTCCTGTGATACACAGCATACCATATCGAATAGTGCCGTCAGTTCTTATTTTTGGATTTCGTATACCTTTCTGGAGCCGAGTCGTGACACGTGGAGCAATAGCTGGAGATGGCACAGGAGCTGACGTAGCAGGACTAGCCGCAGAAGATCCTGGAGATGCCTCAGATTCGCTTTCCACAGCGAATCCCGATCCGAGCCGTGTAGCCTGTGGTGTGGCCGACCCACCAGAAGCAGCAGCCGCAGAAGATCTCGCGCTGCTGGCCTGCAAGTGCGCGTGGGTCAGGGATCCCGATCCTGACCCGGATCCGCCGCCTGTCGCTGTCAACGCGTTGGGCCCGCGCGTGGGACGCAGTGCGGGACGCGGAGTCGCGTCGCGATGCGATGACGTGTCGCCCTCCAACTGGCGCTGCACGGTTCTGCCTGGCACGCGATCCAGGGCGAATCTGCACGCTGACTCCAAGACGCCCTGACGCACAGGAGTTCCAGGCGACGGCGGATCTGCTTCGTGCTCCGCGCCTGCTCCATCTT